TTATTTTATTTTATTTTATTTTATTTTATTTTATTTTATTTTATTTTTTGAGGCCAGGTTTCTCTATGTAACAGCCCTGGCTATACTGGAACTCACTGGCCTCGAACTCATAGAGATCCACATATCTCTGCCTCTCAAGTGCTAGGATTAAAAGTGTGCATGCGCCACCATGCCTAGCTGTATTTCTCCCTTTTTATTTGAGAAATGTATTATTAGATTTTTTATTTTATCCATGTGAATGTTATGTATGTTAATGTTTTGCCTATGTGTATGTATGAGCATGTAGCCTTTGGAGGTGTTCAGATCTCTAGGAACTGGAGTTGTCATTAGTTATGAGTCACTGTGGGACCTGGAAATTGAACTTGGGTCCTCTGAAAGCGGCAAGTACTGAAACATCTACCCAGCCCTAATATTTATCTATTTTGAAATATCTTCTCTAAAGGAAGTACTAAGCATTTGATATTTTTTGTTTACATTTTTTTCTCTGAATAAGTTGATTCTGTAGCATCTTCTGGATGTGACTAAGTATTTTTTGTTGTCTTAGTTTTGTTGTTAGTCTTTAAATAGCTAAAAACTTGTGCGTTTAAACAATAACAACTGCTAGCTGCAATGGATGAATTTTGGTTGATATCCCAACCTTAGCCTCAGGTTTGAAACGATTTGGCACAAACAAGTAACAAGTATCTATAGTTAGTCCCCTTGTTCTATTTCTGTCACATGACATGATGTTCCACATTAATTTTTTTTCTAATTTCTATGATAGACTGACACATTGAAAGGAGCTGGGTGTAACACTAGTGGCTGTGTATTTGGGGCTGCATTGGGGTAGAGGTGTTCACCATTTGCTCTTGCTCTCACCCAGGGTTTGTTTCTGGGCCTTGTTAGTATACAGACACAGAGAAAACTTTTCTTTTAAAGATTAAGTTTATTTTGTGTGTGTGTGTGTGTGTGTGTGTGTGTGTGTGACGTACCTGTACACTTGTGGTTGCGTGGGAAGAAGCAAGAGGAGGGCATTGGATCCCTCAGAGCTAGAGTTGCAGATGTAAGATGGCTAACATATGTGTATGCTGGGATCTGAACTAGTCCATAACAAGCAACAAGCACTTGTAATTGCTCAGTCATAGATGTCCAGCCCCCCTACTCTTTTAAAAATAGTTTTCTTATGTTTTAACCTCAAACTCATGACAGTCTTGTCTCTGCCTCCCAAATACTGAGATTATAGGTGTGAGCTGCCATGCCATAGGAAAGGTTGTTCTGTTTTGTTTTGCTTTTTTCTGAGATATAAGTTAAAGCCCAAATCTATCAATTAATATATGACTTTAGAAGTTATTAAAGTTATTCAGTATTTTTCCCATGGCTAACTGTCCTGTCTTTAATAGAGTTGGTATGGCTAGTGTTTGGGATATTATTTATATACTTAATACTATGTGAATGGAAAGTTAAAATGCTAATGTCGAGCTGAAACACATCAACACATTTTAAAGTACCATGGTTTTGAAACGTAGGATTACTCATCACCATGTGTTTCAATAGTTCTCCCTAGTAGACTTTTACACATTTCTAAGTTAGTGACAGAGATGATGGGGTTGATATTTGTAACCAGTGTATCATTACTATGGATTTGGACCTATGTTGTTGTATAAAAATATATACATATGTAAGGTGTGTTCACACAGGGTTTAAGATAATGAAAGCTGTTTGTTTAAATGTAGGATCTGTTTGGGAAGTCAGATCCATACTTGGAATTTCACAAGCAGACATCAGATGGCCACTGGCTGATGGTTCACCGAACAGAGGTAAGTAAGATCTTGAATCTGAAAAGTAGAATGGTAGTTTTCTTTGACGGTATTATAATTTCATATACACATACATATATAATTTTTTTAGACACAGTCTTTGAATAGTGCCCTGGCTGGCCTTGAACTCACAGAAAATATTTATTTTAATTCAGATTTATATGCAGTCAGTTACAAACAATGCTCATTCACTTACTTTTTTCTACTGCCATGCTTAATTATTTACATTTTTAAAAACCATTAAATTGTATAAAAAATACTTAATGTATTCTTCCTTGCTCTCTCTCTCTCTCTCTCTCTCTCACACACACACACACACACACGTACAACATTAATGAAGCCAATTTTTTTTTCCTTTGGAAAACCATCCTAATGTAAACTACAAGCATCTAGATTCCCTTCAATTATTACATCAGGCAGTTTTCAGGAGTAAAGGCAAATAGGAATAGTAATACATACCTTTAATCTCTGGATACAGACAGATCTCTGTGAGCCAGCATTGTCTACATAGTAAACTCTAGGCCAGCCAGGCCTACATTGTAAGACCTTGTCTCAGAAGAGTAAGGGCATGCATGCTATATCACTGGGAAGTTACCATTGATTTACTAATGCCATTCAGTGTGCCATTCATGCTCAGATTTCCTCAGTGTTGAATAGATTTATAGAGATTGTATTTTGTCTCAGTTTCTGTGAAGCCTCATGTTTTACTTTTTCCTGTTAGGCTCCCAGGTGGTTAACACTTCTTTTTGCCTGCCTATGTTTTCATGCCATGGAACGGCTCAAATTATTGAGTCTAGCATGGATTCTTATGTCTTCTCCTCATCAAACATTATGTCAAGAACTCTCCGTATGTTCCATAATCATGGTTCTCAGACTGCACAGTACCCATGATGTCAGGCAATTTGTTTAAGCTGGCAACCATAGGACCTGAGAGTTCTAAAGTCCTATATTTTCTATTTTCAATTTATAAATTATTTATGGGGTGATACTTTGAGACTGCATGAATTACTTTTCTCTAGGGTTTGCCTGGTGATTTTAGCAACCATTGATGGTCCTTGCTTGAATCAATTCAATTGGGGGCTATAAAATAGTAATTTTGTTGTTCTTTAATCACCACTGGATTAATTACTTCTTTAGTTCTGTAATAAAACACCATGGTGAAGGCAACTTATTGAAGGAAGGGTTTATTTGGGTTTACAGCTTCAGAGGGATAAGAGATCATTGTGGAAGATTGAGGGTATGGCCACTGGAGCTGGAGGCCAAGAACTTACGGTTGAACCTGAAGCAGGAAGTAGAGAGAGTGAACTAGCAGTGTTGTGTGTCTTTGAAACTTCAAAGCCCACCCCCAGTGACATACTTCCTTTAGCAAGCCACACCTCCTAAACCCACCTAAACAGTACTACCAACAGGAAAATAAGTATTTAAATGCCCTTGACTTTGGGAAACATCTTATATAAACCATCACAACCCTTATTCCCACATTAGTAAGCACTCTTCTTTATCATTGTAAACTCACAAATTGTCATGATACATTAATATCATTTATACAGCTCAATTCCAGATTTGATGAGGGAGTGATTCTTCAAATGGATTCTGCGGTTATCAGTATTGATAGGATATATTTATATTTTCTTCTGTTTCAGAGTCAGAAGGAACCATTTCTCTGAAATAAGTTTTATTGTACAAAGTATTTAGGACACCAAGATCTGAGTGCTAGATGTGTTAATCTGTACTAGGATATTATATCTTTCAGTCTTTTTCTCAGTGCTCAGAGATGAAAAATGTTTTTGTATGCCTATCTATGTAATACTGAAACCTAAAAATTCAAAATAAAATTATTTTTTCAGTTTATTTTCAACAGAGCAAGAATCATCTTTTTAAATTTTTAAATATATATGGGTGTTTTACTTAAATGTATGCCTGGACCTCATGTGCATGTAATGCCCATGGAGTCCAGGAAGAGGGCATTGAATACCCTGGAACAAGAGTACAGTTGGTTGTCAGCCACTATGGGGGTTCTAGGAATCAAACCTGGGTCCTTTGGAAGAACAGCCAGTTCTGCTAATTGCTGAGCTATTTCCCCAGGATCTGCAGTGTTCATTCTTATCCTGCTCTATCTTTTAGTCCTTTGGGACTATGATGAAATGCCTGGTGTCCAGCAATCCACAAGCTACCACTTCTTTTTTGTTTTTTCGAGACCGGGTTTCTCTGTGTAGCCATGGCTGTCCTGGAACTCACTCTGTAGACCAGGCTGGCCTCAAACTCAAGAAATCCGCCTACCTCTGCCGCCCAAGTACTGGGATTAAAGGCATGTGTCACCACTGCCCAGTAAGCTACCACTTCTAAGTGTACATTGTTATTAGTTATTTTCTGAACAGCCTTTTTCTTTACTTTACTACAATTGGACAATTTATTATACTTTTCATATGACTATAAGCCATTATCCTACTAATTTTTCTTGGAAATAGTTGAGACAGAGGTTGAGGGGTGAGAGGTGAAAATGCAGCAGGAGCCTAGGGGAGGCAAGAGCAAGACACTGATGAACTGCATGTTCTGATAGACCCTTTGTTCTTTACAGGTTATAAAAAACAACCTGAATCCCATATGGAAGCCTTTTAAAATCTCTCTGAACTCTCTATGCTATGGAGATATGGACAAAACCATTAAGGTAATTTTAACTTATTACATATGTACTCTGTAGTTTACTATGGGATTATGTCCTGATAAACCCATCATACATAGAAATCCTCGTATGTTAAGCTAGATGGGTAGCTTGGTTAGAGCATTAATCAGTGGTCTTGAGGCACTGTGTTTATTTGAGGGAGAGACACAAGAAAGGAAAGAAGGGAGGGAAGAAAGGATGTTAAAATGCATTTAACATACCTAGCTTCCCCAATTACAGCAACCTAGTACACAATTAAGTGTTGATGTTTACCATTGTGGTCTTGTGGGTGGGTTGGGATGTTGCCACTGCACAGCATTATAAGAGCATTGTCGCACGTTGCTAACACAAGGTGAGATTAAAATTTAAAACTCATGAAGTGTCTACTGAATGGTGTCAACATTGTGAAATCAAAAACTCAAGTTACATTATAATAACTCAGACACTGTATGCAACTCCTACAGATTCATACATGTTTACCTGTCTTCTAAAGTTAATATGTAAGATAGCACTTTTTAAAGTAAATGACATTACAGGCATTCATACTTGACTATGCTGTCTAATATGTTGGCTTAACACTTAAGGGTACAGCAGTATGTATTTTTAATTACAACGTATTTCATTTTAACCTGTTTTAAAAAATAAAACATCAAATTTAAATATGTCTTCATTTTAATACAATTCCTTTGCTAGGCAAATACAGAGTATATCTTTTGAAAAGCAGATGTTAGTTATTCTGATATCTCACAACCTTCCTGGTTTTCGTTGTGCAGAAGAACAATGGAGGCATTGTAGGGACAAGGGAAAGTGGATGAGTCGCCACAGTTATTTTTAAATGTTTTTATTTGTAGTTATTTATAAAATAAAACAAAGCCCCAACCATCCAGACAGTGAACACACACAAACTTGTATCACACCAAAACACACTCACCTTTTTATAGATGAGTTCTATCTGAGAACCAAACTCTGATCCTCCTGACTAACATGTCTCCTCAACCCTAAAATACATATCAACTCAACTCCTTATTGAAGGCTTTCTTGTGTTTGCAACTCAACAAATGAAGGGTTTTTGTTCGTTGATGTATCTTATTGTAGTTAATATAATAGAAACAGGAAAGATGATAGGAAACATCATACAGCTTAGAGTTGGACTCTAGATTGCATTTTGATTTAGCTCTTTAACTAGGTAAAAGGTGTTGAGAAGGTCACCTAACCTCTTTGCTAATAACGTAGATAGTAATTTTTTCTGTGTAAGAGGGTAAAGATTGAATATTGAAGGTGAAAGCATTGTAAACCAATGAAACAGCAGCAGAGATGCAAACCGCTTAATTTCTGAGCTTTGGAAGAAGTTGTCCCTGGTTTATAGAGAACATTAAAAGAAAAAAATCAATATTAAGTGCGATTTATGCAGTATGTCAAAGAGCAGTGAAAATATAGGTATGGTATAAGTATATAAATATGCTATGAATTATATAAACATGTTATAGAAGTAGCTACAAATTCTTATTTTAAGACAAATCTAGAGAGGGCAGAAGTCTATGCCTTGACTCTTTGATTGTTTCTGAAAAATTAACAACAAAGCCATGTTTCTAACACATTTTTTACTCACAGTGGAATGCTTTCAGGGCCAATTTGTTCTAGTAAGTAAATTGATTTTCTGATGACTGTTTTCCATTATTAAATCTCTCAGTTTGTTTTTGTTATACACACTTGGTTTTCCACACCATCGCTCACTTTGGTTCTCTGGTTCTGTACTTCTTTGCAACATTAGTCACACGTCTGCAGTTCAGTTCTGATGTGGAAATTATATAAAGGCATGGTAAAGAATTACAGAGCAGAGAATAAAGTCAGAATCTTCTGTGGTTCCTTCATTGTGTTGTCACTCTAGCATGTGCTGTTTTTTAAAGATGAAGAGAAGAAGAGAAATATCATGCATGCTGCCACCTTGCCTAAAGTGGGATGCATTGTATGGTGTGTATTGTCCTTTACATGTATACATGTGCTCTTATGTATATATGCATACATTTACATTTCACAAGTTCTTCTGATACTGTTGCATAAATAGTGAACAGTACTGATGCTTAAAGTCCTGAAAAGAAAGAAAAATGGTATGACTCCTACCTCAGCCTTGGTCTGAACATATTCCATTGTGTCCTCCTTTGAAAGGACAAGAGGGAGCTTTTCCATTTATTTCTTGTAGTGAATGATCAGAATTGTAAAGATGTATTTTCAATTTCTTAACCCCTTTATTGATCTGAACTTTTTTTCACCACTTTAGTCCTTATGAAGGTCTAAGTTAATCTTAACCTTACTAAAGTTTTATTTGGCTTACATATAAATTGATGTTCTTTCCATGGAATCTAAAATGTAAAGCTTCATTTCCCATAATTTAAAAATGTCTGCTAAAAGTGATCTCACTTAAGCATTTAGATAGGTTGTTTTCTGACTTCTTGAAACCTTGCTTCCTTTAAGAAAAAAATCAATTCCTTATTTTTTTTTCCCTTTGACTCTTGGTTTGACTTTAGTTTAAGGTTGGGTGTTTAATATGTTTGGCAGGAGTCAAAATGTCAGACTTGGTCATGAACAACAATATCTATAAGGTCCTTCTTTAAACAAGGGACATTGCTGTTCTTGAATGTTCCAGTTTTTTTTTTTTTATTGATTGATTGATTGATTGTGTTTCTGAAGGATAAGGAAAATACAAGTAATGGATGAAAGACTTCCAGTGTATTGGCTAGTTTTACATCAGTTTGACACAAACAAGAGTCATTTTGGAAGAGGGAATCTTGAGAAAATGCCTCCATTAGATTAGCCTGTGGGTGCATTTTCTCCATTGATGAATGATGTGGTAGGGCTCAGCTCTTTGTGGATGGGCCACCCCAGGCAAGTGGGCCTGGATTCTATAAGAAAGCAGGCTAAGCAAGCCACAAGGAGCAAGCCGATGAGGGGCACTCATCCAAGGCTTCTGCATCAGCTCCTGCCTTCAAGTTCCTGCCTTGTTCCATTCTTATCCTGACTTCCTTGGATTATAAACAATGATGTGGAAGTGAAATAAACCCTTTCCCCTACACACTGATTTTTTTGGCCCTAGCATTTAATCACAGCAATAGAAATCCTAACTAAGACGTCCAATTAGGAAAAGCAATCAATGTGTAGAACTGAAAAGAAAACAGACATTCTGGCAAATGTAAGATTTCTGAGTATTGTACCTTGGTGGTCACTCCATCTTCATGAAGGCTAGAAGCTTGGTGGAGTTCTCACAGAGGCAAATGCAAATTGCTTCTTACTAGAATTAGAAGCCTCTGCTTTGTCCAGTACTTTGGGAGGCAGAGACAGGCATATCTCTGAGTTTGAGGCCATGCTGGTACAGAATGAGTTCCAGGACACCCATGGCTATATACAGAAACCTTGTCTCAAAAATCAACAAACAAACCAACCAAAAAAACACCATCAAAACAAAACAACCAATACCACAAAAAAAAAAAAAAAGAAGGAGAAGAAAACACAAAAAAGAATTTTCTGGCTTGAAGCAGTCTCCAGAAGTGTCTTTGGGATTTCACTTTGTCCTCATTGCTCATCACATGAGATGCAGCATCTGTTAGCCTTGTTCTTAATTCCCTCAAGTTTCATTTCTGCAAATTGGGAATAATAGTATTTCTTTTCCATTCTGTGTGCCTCTTGGGCCTATTTAAAGAATGTATATGAACTATGTACATGTAAAATGTCCATGTAAATGAAATGAGGTGTTGAAATTATGTAGTATATTAAAAACCTTGTCTTAGAAGTTCACATCCCTGTCATCGATTTTTCAGCTTGCCTTGAATACATCAGATTAATAATAGTTCACAACACGTTATTTTTCCATTAGAACAAGCATTGTGGTAACATTTTCTTTCATCTAACACATATACAAAACAAAAACAAAATAAAATGCAGAACCCCTACTAAGGGCAACTTAGCATGGAAACTTCATGGCAACTGGATTTGCTCTAGAGTTTTTCTTCATGTTGTAAAATTCCCAGTCCTCAGAGCAGATCTGACTGTCATGTCTAACTCGTGATTATAGGCCTAGCCTCCTTGGGTTGCGTCTGATGAGACATGTTCCCTGTAACTCTAAATTATCTAGGACTTAGTTGTATCATTATTAGCTGCTAGGATACGGGCTTCTAGTTCTTATACAACAATAATTAAGTAAAGCAAATGAAAGACTAGAAATAATTGCATGTAACCTTCTATCAGCATCTACAGAGAGCACAGTAGAGGAGCTGTGAAGTGCTTCTTGTGTGAAATAGAGTCCATATTTGGGGTTTTCATCTTCCATGACATAGAGCCTGTTCTCAGGATAGGTCTGATTTGAACATGTTTCTGTATCACTTTTCTTCTTCCAATTAGATAATGATATTAAAGATTTTTCTTATTTACTTAAAAAGGCATGCTTGCCGGGCAGTGGTGGCACATGCCTTTAATCCCAGCATTTGAGAGGCAGAGACAGGTGGAGTTCGAGGCCAGCCTGGACTACAGAGTGAGTTACAGGACAGCCAGGGTTACACAGAGAAACCCCCTGTCTCGAAAAACCAAAAAAAAAAAAAAGGCATGCTTACTGCAGCCAATACTATTTAATAAAATGATAATTGACTTTCCATATATTTAATTCCAGGTGGAGTGTTATGATTATGACAATGATGGATCACATGATCTCATTGGAACATTTCAGACCACCATGACAAAACTCAAAGAAGCCGCCAGAAACTCACCTGTAAGTTGTGTCTTTGCAGTTATAAAATATATCCAATATGGTTGTTTATCATTATGTGTTTTTCTAAGGAGTAGCAATTGGTTTATCATGTTTTTATTGTTTATTGCTTAAAGCCCTATAATCTACAAGTTTTGTGTGAAATTTCATGCATGGGATATGTATGTTACTGAGTGGACATCATGTAATAGTAACCAGCACCAGGTGAGGGTTTCAAACTACAGAGATGAAAGCAGAGACCGTCTCTAGGAGTAGAAATAGCTTTTCCTTTCGTATCTTGGAAGAGAAAACATTCAGTACTGGATGGAACGGTACTTTGCCCACATAGGGAAAACAGCATGATCAGCTTCAGTAGTAGATGTGAGTCCCCTATGGCAGGCTAAACACGGCAGATGTCCTGTGATCTGCATGTGTGCCCTTCTGGTGTTTTCATAGAAGGCCTTCACCCCTCCCTGTAAGTCTAAAATGCTGAAATTTATGGGTAAGCCAAAGAGTCATTGATGCACAGTTTGAGTAGAAGCATGGAATATTCTGAAACCTGGGAAGGCTTTCTGTTGTGGGGTATCCAGCAGAGAAGACTGATTACACATGGGTTTAAGCCAATAGAAAGTCTTTATTAGGTAGATGGGAACTACACTGGGTGTTCAGGATCCCAGTGTAGCTCTAAGCAAGGCTAGTATATTTAGAGACTTTCTCAGTGTTGCCGGCCAGCGGCCACAGTCAACCGGGTTCACCTGAAAGAGAGGCTGGGAATGGAAGAAAGGACAGGAGGGCAGGAAGAGATGAAGCCAGGACAAAGGTTTCTGATCGAGGCTCAATGCTTTAATGTTCAGCTTTCAATTTAAAGGGGAAAACCCACCCCCACAACCAGAGTTCCTTCTTGCTTCAGCCTGCTGGGGGTGAGGGGAATCCATCCTGCTGTGGGTGTGGGGAATCCATCCTTAAGATGTCTCAAGGCTTGCCAGGGCGGTGGTGGCGGCGCACGCCTTTAATCCCAGCACTTGGGAGGCAGAGGCAGGTGGATTTCTGAGTTCGAGAGTTCAAGGCTAGCCTGGTCTACAGAGTGAGTTGCAGGACAGCCAGGACTACACAGAGAAACCCTATCTCGAAAAACCAAAAAAAAAAAAGATGTCTCAAGGCAAGCTCAGCAGGCAGTCTATTCTTCTCAGCTTGTGTACCAGGCTACAGGCAGCCAAGGAGGCTCCAAGGCAGGCAATGCCTCCAGAGTCCTATTGTTTGGTCTATTGTGGTAAACAAGGTCTCTCAGGCCTGCTCAAGGCTGGGAGAAGGACACATCTCAGAACTATGAACTTTGATTAGGTCTTTGTTTTCATTTTGGTCAATGGTGCTGTTTGCAAGATGAGTTTTATGGCCTAAATGATACTTTCGTCATGGAGTCAGTTGTGTTAAGGTCTGAGGCCTACTACCTTTCCATATAAACAACAAAAGCCAACCATATTCTGTGTGGGGTACATTTTTTGGTAAATATTTTAGGCTCAAGATTTGTGTGCATGAAACTGCCATTCTTGTCAAGTTTATATTTATATTAGAAGCTTAACTTTTTGTGGCCCTAGGATTAGCTTCATGTATTTCTGTTTTATTCTGTTCATTTTTTTGTAGTATGGTTTTTTTATGTTGCTAACAAGATTAACATTTAGTTTCTTTCCTTTTTCTTTTAAGATTTGATTTTAAAGGAAAAGGTTGTTCATTTAAATCATCTTCTCCAACAGGTTGAATATGAATGCATAAATGAAAAAAAGAGACAGAAGAAAAAAAGCTACAAGAATTCAGGTGTTATCAGTGTGAAGCATTGTGAGGTCAGTTGGCCTTGGCCACTTGTAATGAGCTCACGTGTGAGTTCTTGTATCAGTGCAGTTTTATATCAAATAAGTACTTGCTCTAAGCAGCTGGAGATGACATGAGCACCATCTTGGGAGAAAGAATGGAGTGTGAAATAGTAAATAAACCTTTCAAATAACTCCGCTTTAAAGATTTGGCAACTTTTTAAAAATATTTTTAAATTTATGAATGAATGTTTGCCTGTGTGTAGGTATATATACTGTGTGTAAGTTGCATGCATGTGTGTCCAGTGTCTGTGGAGGCCAGAGAGGGTGTTAGATGTCCTAGATCTGGGCTTACAGACGGTTGTGAGCATCCAGGTGGGTGCTGGAAGCCAACTCATTTCCTCTGTAAGAGTAGCGTGCCCATTGACAACTTTTTAGCAAAGGATAAACAATGGTAAAGTTGTCTATTATCTTAGGAAATGGAGATTGGAAATGATCTGACCAAGTATATCTATCCTGGCTATACTTTCTTTATAAGCTGTTACAAATGATGGGGAAAGCCAAGTTTCTCCCACTGAAAACATGCTTTGTTTTTGTTTTTAATTATTTTACTTACATTCCAAATGTTGCCCCCTTCCTGGTGCCCCCTCCATAAGTTCTTCTCCCCATTCCCCCTTCCCCTTTGCTTCTGAAACGGTGCTCCCCAACCCTCCCACCGAGTCCCACCTCACCCTGCTAGCATCCACCTTTCCTGGGACGTTAAATTTTTACAGGATTAAGCACTTCCTTTCCCACTGAGACCAGACAAGGCAGTCCTTGTATGGTCTACATATGTAGCGGGGGCCATGGACCGGCCCTTGTATGCTCTTTGGTTGGTGGCTGAGTCTCTGGGAGCTGATAGGCCTGGGTTAGTTGACACTGTTGTTCTTCCTATGGGGTTGCAATCCCTTTCAGTTCCTTCAGTCTTTCGTGCAATTCTTCCACAGAGGTCCCTTGGCTGTAAGTATCTGCATCTATCTCAATCAGCTGCTGGTAGATCCTCTCAGAGGACAGCCATGATAGGCTTGTGTCTTGCCAGCACAACATGGCATCAGTAATAGCGTTGGGGTTTGGTGCATGTACTTGGGATGGATCCCAAGGGGCTGGTCTCTGGATGGCCTTTCCTTCAGTCTCCGTTTCACCATGGATGTGAGAGACTCTCAGGACCCAGTGGAGATGACCTTAACTGAAATGCCTAACAGTGGGGAGATGTAACCTAAAGAGACCACATCCAGTAGATAGACGTGGTCCCCATTTGAAGCATGGAACCACTCAGATATCTTCAAAATTTTTGACCCAGAATTGTTCCTGTCTAAAGGAAATGCAGGGACAAAAATGGAGCAGAGACTGAAGGAAAGACCACCCAGTGACCAGCCAAACTTTTAATTCTTTTAAATCTTGATTGCTAAATACTTGTTAAAGGTGTCAGTATCTTACACTTATTAAATAAAACCTAAGTGACTACATTTCCTCATTTGCCATTGATATTCTAATCCTTTTGTTTTTAGCCACCTGAATAAAATTTTTATGTTTTCATTTGCATGTATTGTTTTACCATAATGATGTTTATTATGACATTCTCATAATGCATATAATGCATTTTATATATGCTCATCTTCCATATTCCCCTTTCTTATCTTCCCACTCCTGTTGAGTCTTCCTTTTTCCAACTAGTCTCCTTTTACTTTCATGCCCCTCTCCTGGGGTGTGTGTGTGTGTGTGTGTGTGTGTGTGTGTGTGTGTGTGTGTGTTATGTGTCTGTGTCTCATTGAGTTTGATTAGTGTTATGCACAGGAAGCATACCAGTGATGACACCTCAAGAAAATGTCTCTCACTTCTACAGCAATCATTAACAGCCTGTGAATTCTCAGAGGGGGATGAGTGTGGCTCAGCTTATGAGCCCTTACCCTGATATGTTAGCCTTAACACTACTGTACTTAGGCTGTAGTGAAATATTTATGAGTCCTCACATTTAGGGGAGGAGTTTTGTATGCCAAAATGTGAGGTTGATTTCCACGTATTTATGTCATGTATCATTCAGCTTACAAACTCTGAAATGCATGTGCCAAGAAGCCTTTTATTTGGAGAGTTTGGTTTTAACAGTGTGTCTTTGTTTTTAGATTACTGTAGAATGCACATTTCTTGACTACATCATGGGAGGGTGCCAGCTGAATTTTACTGTAAGTAACACTGAGTTTTCTTACATAGGCTGTTAGGTGGTGCCTTTCTACTCTGTTTTGCAGCATTCCTTTACGGCCAAGCTGACTCTGTAATGAAATTTACACAGGCTGTTCATATGACTTCCTTATGGACCATCTAGGTTCATCATGGAAGTTTGACCTAGTTGGTGAGTTGATGAGTGATCTGCTCTTCAGAGAAAATAGATATGTCTAAACCAGTGGTTATACTATAGTAATTTAAGGAATAGAAAACACACATATAAGAACAGCCCCTAAATATGGGTCATAAATATGTTTAGTGATTCATGGTTCTTCAATCTAGAAAGAGAGGAACAGATTGTTCTCATGATGAGTCCAGTTCAGTTGTTTGTAAAAATTCGGTGAGCTTTGTTAGGAGATGGCAGTAGCAGGTTCTGGGATGATTTTGGGTCTTGTCTCCTGGAGCTTTCTTGGACCTCAAGCTCAGATAGATAGCTCTACCCTCTCTTTGGTAAGAACTGCTGTCTGTCATTTCTTGGTAGGTGGGAGTGGACTTCACCGGTTCCAATGGTGACCCCAGTTCTCCAGACTCCCTGCATTACATCAGCTCTAATGGTGTTAATGAGTATCTGACTGCCATCTGGTCTGTGGGATTGGTAATTCAAGATTATGATGCGTGAGTATGACTTTGGAAATATTGAAGTATACATTTTGTAATTTCTTAGAAGAGCACTCTCTGTTTCATTACCTAGTGTTCTGATAGAGGTGCGAGGATGAGAAGCATAGAACATCGTTCTTACCCAATTGTTTTTACCTTTTTATTTATCTCGTTGTGTCTCCCTTCGATCTCATTGTTCCTGCTGTAACTAGTTATTATTTGTTGTATATAGCTTCTTCATTTATGGTTGAGAGAATTCAGCAGTACTCATTTGTTTGCTCTGATTTCCTTGGAGTTTTAATCATTATGGTAAGTTGTATATGTGACTAAAATCTAGATGTTATAGTATTGTAAACAGTAATAATTGTTTCCTAGAATATATACATGTCCTTTCTGATAATGAAATTTTATTTATTCATTCTGAGAAAGGGTCTTACATTATCCCTCCCTGGCTTGGAACTCAGTATGTACACCAGCCTGGCCTTGAAATCTAAGAGATTTCTACTTTTCCCTCTCAAATGCTGGAATTAAGGAAGCGCATGACCACATGCTGCTGAAAGTAATTTTTTAATTGGATCTTTTGACAAGGCTAAAGAGCATCTTAACCTAATTGCTGCAAAGTATTCTGAATGAATTTTCAATACTTAGATTTTTAATAGATTTGCAGTCCAAGTATATTTTTAGTCATAGCAAATCCTGTGCAAATTCCTGGGTCCAATTTCAGTCCCACTAAAAATACAATAATGATGATAATAATAATGATGATGATGATGATGATTTCTTATAACAGCTAATGTCTGTCTGAGACAATTCTATTAGTCTAAAGAGAGGATGAGCCATACACAGAAATTAGCAGGTCATCAAAGATCCACTCCTGAAAATGGTACCAGACCAGGGTAATATGAATTCTTAAAAACATGTAACGAACAAAATCAAACCTAAATGAATCCATTTTTTTAAAAACTAGAAAGTATTCAGAGTTCAGAAAAAGAGGCAAATACAGAATAAAGAAAAAAAATCAGCTTCTCACTCACCAGCAACAACAAAATTATATTATCAGATTAAGCTAATTAAGGAAATTATATTCACTAACAATTACAGTGAATACATGTCATAATAAGTGAGTACAAATTTTATAAAACATCTTAGATTTTTAGTAAGATAAACTAAAAAATTGTACTGAAGAACTAAGAGGAAACTTATTTTTAAATGGAAAGATCTTATGGTAATGATGTAATATGAAATTTCCTTCAGAATTAATCACTTTGAATCAGAATTGCTGTAGATCCTGACCAAAAAAAAAAAAAAAAAAGAGTCTTAAAATTCTTTGAAAGGAGCCAGAACTCCCCAGACATTTCTCTAAAGGAAAGAAAAAAGGGAGGAGAAAGCAAAAGGGGATCTGCTCTAGCTATTTTCTTTGTTTGGTTTTTATTTTTAACTTTTTTATGTGAGTATTTTGCCTGTGTGTACTGTGTGTGTCTAGTGCCTACAAAGGTCAGAAGAGGGTGGTGAATCTCCTGGAACTGGCCTTCTGGGGATTGTAGGTACTGGGAACCAAACCTGAGCTCTCTGCAAGATCAGTGATTGCGTGTAATCTGTAAGCCATCTCTCAACCCTGCTTTAGCAGCTCTTAAAATTGATTTCTAAGCTCAAGTATAGAACTATACTTGACCATTCAAACCAAGCATCCTAGGTAAGAAATAGAACCGCACGTACACATACGTGAATTTAGTGAGAATAGCATCTAAAGAAGAAGGATTATAACAACAACATATTGCATAATAATGGAATTTGAAGTTGGATGTAGTGATACACACTTGACAGATGGGCAGGTGGATCTGTGAGTTCAAGGCCAACCTAGTCTAAATAGTTCCAGATTAGCCATTGCTACATAATGAGACCATGTCTGAAGAAAAAAAAAGAATTGAATTTGAATTTGCGATTCATATCTGTAAAGTGCGATAAACCACACATGCTGTAAACCTGTTACAGAAACACTTTAAGCAGTATCACACAATAGCAGTAGGTTTAGGGTTGTTCCAGTGTTTCTGCCATTCTCAGTTTATATCTTCTATTCTTGGTGGTAAGAGCTCTGTTGCTGTGCACACTGCAGGAAGAAGAGAAAGGAGTCCAGGAGTGCATGAGTATCTCCCTTAGGTGCTTTCAGATGCTGCTAAAAACAAAAACAAAACAAACAAACAAACAAAAAACACCCACAACTTTCTATTCATGTCTCCTTGGGCTAGAACCTAGACACCTGATCATAGCTGGCTCCTAGAACAGGAGGTAGAGCCACCATCTGGAGAGTCAGTTAACAAAGGAGGGAGTGCCACGAAGCAGCTGTTTCTGCTTTATCCTACTCCAAAGCACTATTCAGAAGAATGAAATTAAACTTGAATGTTTTTAGGAGGAAAAAAATACATGATTGGCTTATACTTTGCAGTGTGCATGGCTGGTAAGATAACAAAGGCAAAAAATCTCATAAGAATTTGTGTTTGTTCCTTTTCCTTATTATTAAAACCCATGAAAGGAGGAGTGTGGAGATGGCTCAGCAGGTGAGAGAGGGTGCTTTCTGTGAAAGCAGAGGAACCTGGATTCAGATCTCCAACACACATAGAAAAAAAAACGTATAAAAATATGGCCCCGTGTGTCCATGATCAGTGTTTGGAAGAAACTGGTATCCGTCTGCTTTGGGTGTGCATACACTCATTAATAAAGGAATTAAAAAACCCTGTGAATGCTTCCAAATAGCATTAGACAGACTGCCGACTAGGAAAAGTATTTCTGACTTGACATGGGTTCTGTCTTTAATGGAAAATACTAAGAATTAATACAGGATGAGTGCAGTGGCTATACAAGTGAAGGTGTCTGCTGCCAAACCTGACTGTTTCCCTCTGTTTTCCACATACATGTCATAGCAAGTATGTCACCACTGTAATGCATAAGTAAGTAAGTAAATAAATAAATAAATAAATAAGAGTGAGCATACAAGACTATTCCAGTAGAAAACAGTGCATTGAGTGGTGTTTATACTGGCCATCCATCAGTGTGCCTGTGGAGAACACCCAAATCCTGAACTACTCAGTACCATCTCACGTTTCTATATTCAGGTCCAGACTCTGTTCAAAAACTACAGACCTAGATGGACATCTGTTTTCCTGCAGAAACTTTAAGGGGACATAAGTAAATGCTATAAATAACCTTATTATTTGAACCCTGGTTTTATGCCAAATAGTATTGCTTAAAAGAAAAAAAAATGTCTGACTGGAGAAATGGCTCAGTGGTTAAGAGCACTGACTGTTCTTCCACAGGTCCTAAGTTCAATTCCCAGCAACCACATGTTGGCTCACAACCATCTGTAATGGGATCTGATACCCTCTTTTGGTGTGTCTGAAGACAGCTTCAGTGTACTCATATAAATAAAAAATTAAAATGAAAACTTCTAAAAAAAATTTTTATTACTTTTATTTTTTTTACAGTCCAGTCATTATCCTCCTCCTGGTCTACCCTCCCATAGTTCTTCATCCTATTCCTCCTCCCGCTGTCTTCAAGAGGATCCCCCCACCCCCATCTCCCCACTCTGCCCCTCGCCAGGCCACCCCCTTCCCTGAGGCCTCAAGTCTTTCGAAGGTTAGACACTTCTTCTCCCACTGAGGCCAGACCCTGCAGTCCTCCTCTGTATATGTGTCAGGGACCTTGGACCTTGGACCAGCTCCTTTATGCTGCCTGATTGGTAGCTCAGTATCTGAGAGATCTCAGGGGTCCAGGTCAGTTGAGACTGCTGGTGCTCCTATGGGGTCATCTTCCTCTTCAGCCTCTTCCACCCTTTCTCTAATTCAACCAACAGGGGTCCCAGGCTTTAGTCCATTGATTGAGTGTGAGTATCTACGTCTGTCTCAGTCAGCTGCTTGTTGGGCCTCTTGGAGGACAGCCATGCTAGGCCCCTGTCTGTAAACACACCATAGCATCAGTAATAGTGTCAGCCCTTGGAGCCTCCCCTTAAGATGGGTCTCAATTTGAGCCTGTCACTGGACTACCTTTTCCTCAGTCTCTTCATTTTTGTCCCTGAAGCTCTTTTAGGAACAGTTCTGGGTCAAAGTTTTTGGCTATGGGATGGCACCAATCCCTCCACTTGATGTCCTGTATTTCTACTGAAGGTGGACTCTATGAGTTCCCTTTCTCCACTGTAGGGCGTTTCATCTATGGTCCTTCCCTTGTAGTCCTGATAGTCTCTCACCTACCAAGTCTCTGGAACTTTCCATCTTTAAAAAAAGAAAAGAAAATGGAGTTTTTCTTTTTGTGCAGGGTAGTGGTGGTTCATATTTGTTCAGGAAGTGATGCACAAGGTTTAAATAGAAAAATAGTAGGTTATAGGAGGTGAATTTCATTTCATTTATTTATTTAATGTTTATATGTGTCCATTGGTGTATGTATGTGTACTACATGTGAGTAGGAGTTTGTGGACATCAAAAGAGGTATCAGATTCCCAGGCACTTGACTTGTAGATGGTGCTACCCATTACCAAATTGGTAGGTGCTGGGAACTAAACCCAGGTCCTCTGCAGAAACAAGTTCTCTCAGTCACTGAGCCATCTCTCACCCCATAAATAGTATTATTATAAAATGTATATAAAAAGCTAGGTTCAGAGGGTAAGACCCCCTGCTGTGAAAGCATGAGGACCTGAGTTCAAATCCCCAGCACCCGTCTAAAAAGCTGGCTGTGGGTACTCTTGCTGTAAACACACTGTGAGGGAGCAGAGGCAGGCAGAGAGCCAGAACTGCAGACTTGCAGTTCAGTGAGAGACCTGCTCTCAAGGATTAAAGTGGAGCATGATAGAGGAAGACACTGTGTACCTTCCTCTGGTTTTCATGGGCTTTTATACAGGGGCACACACTCAGGTGAATATCATAAATGTATACCACTTCTACACCCCCCCAAAAAAATCTATGTAGATATTTCCTCTTTTAATGCACAGAAAAGCATTTAAAGTGAGTTTTCCAGTGTTAGCATCGGCATTTAATATAGGTAGTGCTAGGTAATTTTTTGTTTATAATTTTCTATGATTTTGAATTCTTTTAAATATAAGCTCATACTATTTTTATTGTGAGTAAATATGAAGTACTTTCTCTTGCAAACATTGTTTGACTTGTTTTCTTTTTTCTTTTTTAGTGATAAAATGTTTCCAGCTTTTGGTTTTGGAGCTCAGGTGCCCCCTCAGTGGCAAGTAAGAGGAAAGCTCTTTTGAAAGCTTTATTCTTGATCAGCAAATAGACCTCCTTAACCCTTTCTCTTTTTGACAGGTGTCTCATGAATTTCCAATGAACTTTAACCCCTCGAACCCCTATTGTAATGGTAAGTAAAGCCGAGCCTGAGGAGAGCCTCATTTGTGTCTTTTTCTTGCAGGTTAGAACTGTAGTTCATTTCTAAATATCAGTTTGTGACCTGTTGAACTGTTGTAAACAGTGCAAAAGTCACCCCAGGTCGGTGACTGCAGTGGTGAAGGTAATTACAGGGGGAATGAGCATGAAGATGAAAAGTAAACCTTCTACCTTATGAATCTCAGTAGAACCAAACCATTCACCGTCTTAGGAATGAGTCACTAAAGATCAACATAAAACTAAACGAATTTTCACATGTAGCTTGACTATAAGTAAACTGTCCATGAAAGAAGTAGTTCTGTATTAAAGACTCTGGAGAGAGCTTTCAGAGAAGCAGTGACTCCTCAAAGATAAACCGTGTCAGTCCTCACAGTCCTGCTGCTTGCCCAGTATTGTCTCACACTCACTTGGATGGACCACACATATACACCACACAAACATAAGTAAAGAAAAGTTTAAAATATGCTAAAGTAAGAGAATATACTTGGTAAAAGCCACTATAGAAAAGTTTCTGTGGTTTTAGAATGCAGTGCAGGTAGTTCTTTAAGATTTCTGGCATTTGTCTGTATCCTGAACTGTCACTGAGTTCAGAATCAACACATGTCTACCTAGGATACTTGGTTGTAGGGAGTGCTTTTCACCAGGGTACCAGTCAGCTCACCAGGCCATGCTGCTTTCACAGAAATGTCTCTACACCTCAGTGCCTTAGAGTGGCACATTTGCTCTTGCTCATTTGACTTGTAGTTAGATCACAACTCTTTTCCATATTTTTCTTTTTAAATATGAAATAGGCTGCTGCCATAGACCTGGCTATAACCTTGGAATCTTCCTTCCTCAGTCTCCTGAGTGCTCGGAGTATAGATCTAACAGTGCACCCAGATGTCCAAATTTCTTAGCTGTCCAACTTACTATCAATAAGACTGGGAGGCCCAAGGCCAGAACCTCATAAACTGTTTACAGTTCTATGACAAAATTCAGGAAACTACTTATGTGTGAATATTTAGAATTAATGCTGCCAACTATACCTTCCCTGACCTAATTAATAGGTAATTTATATCTAATTAATTATAATTAATCAGCCTTATAACCATATATTTTCGTAGAACTTTGATGATGCAGATGAGTGTTCCTTTCAGCAGTGATTTTTTTCTGCTTACCCGTTGTAAGCTGCTGCACCTTTTCCCATCAAAAATACATCAAAATTAAGCATAAATATAACAGACCTATCTGAGAAGAGAATGAATGCTTTCTGTTTGGAGAGGCTGTGTTAGTAGCTCTTTGTAATGAAGCATAGCCATGAAGAACTCATGAATATGGAACTTTTCCCTAGTCAAAGTGTTGTTTTGTTTGGGTTTTGATTTTATTGTTGTTTCTTTGTTATGTTTTATGTTTGTAATATGGACCTACTATAGTCAAGGTGATTCTGTATTTCCAGCTCAGTCTCCCTAGAGCTGGGATAATAGCCATTATTCACCAGACCTGACATGTGTATGACTATGTTTCCCAGTACTATGGGTTAACAAGTTATATTTGAGGATTTTTAATACTGCTTTCTTTGATCTAGGAATTCAAGGCATTATAGAGGCTTATCGGACCTGTCTTCCTCAGATAAGACTCTATGGACCAACTAATTTTTCTCCAATTATAAATCACGTGGCCAGGTTTGCAGCTGCAGCTACACAACAGCAGACAGCTTCTGTAAGTGCTCTAGGTGCAGGGACAGGAAGGATATGGGTGGTATTCTTCCTGGTTTCCATATTGTTGTTGGTTGAGTTTGTCAAGAGTAAGAAGTGATGCTATATTCAGCATTGGTTTGGGAGCATGTGCAGATGAGTGTTCATTTCAGCAGTGATTTTTTTCTGCTTACCTGTTGTAAGCTGCTGCACCTTTTCCCATCAAAAATACATCAAAATTAGGCATAAATATAACAGACCTATCTGAGATGAGATTGAATGCTTTCTGTTTGGAGAGGCTGTGTTAGTAGCTCTTTATAATGAAGCATAGCCATGAAGAACTCATGAATATGGAACTTTTCCCTAGTCTAGTATCTGTTGCTATTAATGATCACTAGAACAAAATAATGCTTGCTTTTATCTGACTTGGAAGTAATTTGCTTAGATTCTACCAAAAATTTAAAAAAAAAGAAGTCTATTAGTTAACTTTTAGAAACATTCTCCACATGAAGGCCTTTGAATACTTTTACCAGTTGCTGATGTTGTAACACTTACTATACTACAGAGGTTTGAATTAGCTGACCATTACTAGTCAGATGTTGCGTATCAAATTTCTCAAGCTATAGTGTACTCAGAAGTATGGATAGGCATTGTGGGGAGACCCCTATGCAGGTGATGAAAAAGAATAAAACAGTGCCCAAATCAAAGAAAATACTCTCATACCTGTAAGTTACTGTCAAATATCGTACTCATGTCCTAGATTTAACTGGCCCCCAAAGAATGAAATCACAATTTTATGTGACATTTTACTACTCTGGAACGTTTCATCAAAGAAGACAATATTTTAAAGCATGTATTTTAGCTGGTCAGATAATCCTTCTTCAGAAGTTTGGATCTGTTGAGACCTGAATAACTATTTGCTCCCTTGCTTCGAGCTTTGACATGTTTAGTGGTTCTTTTTAATGAATGTTTGTTCGTCTGCTTTCTTGAAAGGTTTGTCTTTAATAGTTAGATGTCTCCTGTGTATTTTTTCGGTGTATTCAGTGGTGTGCTGCACTTCTAATGGATCTTCAGTTTTTAAGAGTTGATACTTGTTATCAGAGAAATTTTAGAATATTTTATGCAGATGATATTCTACCAGGCTTTTAAGGAACATGAGTGAGTCAGATGACTCATTAACCTAAGTCACTCCTCTTACTGTCTGACCTTGACCTGCTCAGCAGATGTGTTTTCTCTTTTGATAGCAATACTTCGTGCTCTTGATCATCACGGATGGCGTGATCACAGACCTTGATGAAACCAGACAGGCAATCGTCAATGCAGCCAAGTTGCCCATGTCTGTCATCATTGTGGGAGTTGGGGGAGCTGACTTCAGTGCCATGGAGTTCCTAGATGCTGATGGTGGAAGTCTCCGTGCCCCGTCAGGCGAGGTGGCCATAAGAGATATTGTTCAGTTTGTGCCTTTCAGACAGTTCCAGAATGTGAGTACCGTTTTTTTTTTTTTTTTTTTTTCTGGCTTAAACATAGATTGCTTTTAATTGAAAGATCTAATTTGGCTTGGCATTTTTGTATCGTTTGTGCTTTTGCTATAATTTTATGACAAACTATTAAAATGATAACTGCTATGAATATGTAAAGATTTTTTGTTACTTTCTTATTAATTACTTTTCTCATGGTGATAAAAAATAATCTGGTAAAGGCAACTTGAGTAAGGAAAAGTTTACTTTGGCTAGTAGCCCATTACACTGGGAAAGGGATGGCAAAAGGAGTTCGCAGTATCTGGTCACAGTGCATCCACAGTCATGCACAGAGGATGAATATGAGTACTCTCTTAGGGATTTGGGGGTTTTCTTCTTGCTGTGAGAAAACACCATGACCTGTGACAACATGGGGAAGAAAGAGTTTCTGTATTGTTTAGATGCTGTCTCAGAAAACAAACAAAGATTTTACAGAAATGGAAGGCCATACTGTATATGGACTATAGGGTTGGGATTTTTTTTGTTTTGTTTTTTAATTAAGAATGATTCTTCTGAGTCTCTCAGCTTCTTGCCTCCATTCCTCTGTAGGAATTCCTAGTGTAGATAGACCAAGATGACTATAGTGAGAGGAACATAGAAGAATTTAATGTATAATGTTATGAAACAGTCTTATATCCACATATAGAAAACCAAAAAAAAAACCTATATGTAAATGTTTTAGCAGCTAAATGTATAATAGATAATAGCTGGAAATAACCCAGATGACCTTCAACAGGCAAATGATTAAGAAAACCATCATATGGTACATCCATATGATGAGATACTTAGGAACAGACCTTAAAAGCAGTTTCTTGTGCTTACACAAAGGCTGATAGCTTTACATGAACATTACTTGGGAAAAGAAGCATTCAGAATCAATTCTGTTTAAACCTATATCACTGCTGTAATCTCAGACCAAATTCCATACAGATTTTTGCATGCTACTTTCAGAATGGTAACTGATAACCAGGACTTCTTCTAAAACTATTTTATATTTCTAGAGCTTATAGGTCATGAAAATGGCGATTGATTTTAGTAGTCATGAGAATAAGTAATAAACTTTTTGTACGTCTAATATAAAGTCATTAAGTACAAATAGAATAATCTTTTAATACATTGATGTTCAGAAAAGGGAAAAGATGAAAACGCATTTAAAAAACGGAGGCTTTGCATGTTAGCACATACATAATATGCTCTCATGAGAATCTCAGTTCTCAGCAAACATAGCAAGAAAGAGATCAAGGACACTTGGGAAGCAGAGGGAGGCAAATCTCCATAAGTTCAAAAGTACAAGCCTAGAGATCAAGAATCACTGCAGTTTAATGACTGCTGAGTTATTTCTAGTCACTTATCAAACAGCCAGTAGTCAGTCAAATGTGGTTGTGTGTGTTTGCAATCCTAGCACTTTGTAGGAGGATGAGTAGTTCAGGCTCATACTTGACTGCCGTGAGTTCAAGGACAGCTTGAGCTACATGAGACAAACAACAAACAAATAAGCAAGCCAACAGCTGTTCAGTTTGTAATGGTAGCTATGATTTTGTTTTTCTTCAAGGCTCCAAAAGAAGCACTTGCTCAGTGTGTCTTGGCAGAGGTTCCCCAGCAGGTGGTGGGCTACTTCAACACGTACAAACTCCTTCCTCCCAAAAACCCAGCTGGGAAGTAGAAGGAGCCAGGACAGCTACAGGATTTCAAACGCTGTGTGGAGCAATGCCATCCCTTAAACAGAATGATGGATCTGCCGGCTGTGCTTTTTACCCCCGGGGTATCTGGTGTAAACCCAGCTTCTTGTATATATTCTATCTGTTAAAGCATACATTTAATACTTTTTGAAGAGGACAATAACAAGTCTATTTCTGCTCAGTGAATTCAGTGATTGTTAGTGATTTATAGAAATTACAAGAGTGCTGTTTGGAATTGACTTTAATGTCGGAAAATGAGGCTTGTTGGTCTGTTGTCTACTTTCTATAATGAAATGCTATTTTTAAATGTTACCCATGGAGTGAGTGAGGAATTACTGGATGAAGTGGAATACAGGTTGCTATACTGTTTATAGTAAATACTTTGCCAGCCAGTGTCTATACTGTGACTGAGAGAGCTCCTTAAGTCAGGTACTGCGTTTATACCTATGACTATATTCTGTCCCTTCCTATGCTGCAGTGCTACAGTGTATAAAACTGTTTTCACATGGTTGCTTATGAAAACCAGTGGGCTTACATTTTAAAATGTGGAGAGCTCCTTGTAGACAAGACATTTTTATTTGCCTTTTGAAATCTTTTCACTGTGAACTCTTGCACATAGTATGGCCTTTGCTTTACTGAGTAAAGAAGACACTCAAACTTCTGTGAGCATCAAATGATAAGGCACCCCAGAGGCCATGTGATTAGGTCAGCATATGTGACTAAGTGAGTAGGATTGCTTCATTCACTAAAGCTTTGAGGACCAAACATTTAAGGTGAAACTTCAAACACAGTTGCAGGCCAGGCATTGTGGCACATCATCCCAGCACTTGGGAGGTAGAGGGAAGACAGCCAGCACAAACCAACCTGCCTACATGGTTAATTCCAGGTAGCTAACTACCTGGTGAGAATGTGTTTCAGAATAACAAAAAAAAAAAAAAAGTAATTGAGAAATATATTTCTTCTAACTAATGGTATAATTGCAAAAGGTCATTTGTATTTTTTTCTTGCTAAGGTCCTATGTATTGATTTGTATAGATTTATTTAGATATTTTTACCTAAAAATAGTATTATTATTTTCGTTAAACTTTAGTTCTAGTTATTTATTAATCAAAATTCCATTTTTCATTTCAATAATGTACTATTTCCTAAGACCAGAATTCTGTTAAGCATAAAACCTTTTATAAGATTTAAAAAAGAAAAGAACAAAATATACAAATTCTGTTCTAGCTGCTACATTTACATAGAGTGGACTTAGTATTCTTGTTTTGAAGAGTTGAATGATTTTCACTTCACCCTGTAGAACATACTGTTAAGTGAGCACACATTTTTGGAATTGATTCTGTAACATTTGCCTGAGGATCTGGATGCCAAATACTTTGCCAGTCTGTGCAGTGGCCAATTATCACTTAACAATTTAACAAAATTATGTATTTACCACATATCCTTAAGTGGATGTCCACAGCACCAGCCAGCATTTCTGTCAGTGTTACTGAGTCCTGCCACCACTGCCTGTGTCTTTCTTTTCTTCAGTCTTCTCAGAAACAACTTACTGCTGAGGTCTGGCTCAGGGAAGATCCTTTTGTCTTGTTTGTCTAGCCCAGTGAGCAGTTGCCTCTTTCCTACATGGGTAATTGGCATCTGGATATGTGCTGTTAACATGAAACAATGCACCTCTATATAATAGGGTTTCTTAAAATTTATTTTCATTTTCAGTCCTTTCATTCAAGAAATTTTTATGTAACCCCAATTTTATAGGTATACAAACCTATATTTAAGATAGGCATACAAATCAAACATTGCAAGTAAACCAAAAGGAATTTATTTTAGATGCCTGGAGAGGTGGCTCCAGGTTAATAGTACATATTACTCTTGCAGAGAACCTGTTGGTTTCCAGCACATACATCAGGCAGCTCTACTTGGTTGTAACTCCAGCTTCAGGGCATCTGATAGTCTCATCTGCCCTCCACAAGGACCTGCTTGTGTGTATGTGTGCATACACACACACACACAGAGTTATTTAACAATTTTTTTTTAGATTTAAAGTTTTACCATTTATTAAAGGTGAAAGCATATTTGCCTACTAGTGAGGTTTATATGCTTCTGTGCTTTTACATAAGAACTCGGTCTCAGCTGACTATTTTGTATTGCAGAACACAGACAATCTTAAATGTACTTGAGTGTTGGTTGATATTTTGATTTTTTTATTGACAATACTTAGAACCTTTTTTCACATAAATACATAGTACAAAATGCCATCAATGTTGAGAGGTGTTTCAGAAGTTGGAAATTCTGTCCTTATCCTAAGCCAAAACACAGTTAAAGTTTTTTTTTTTAATGAAGCTTATGCTGACAATTTTTAAAATCAAACTTTCTAGCATAAGACAATCTAGAGATATATGGATTTGATATTGACTTGATTAAGAATGACAGGAAAATATTGAAGTCTTTGTTTTCTGTAGCTAATCGTTTATGCTAAAGCTTAAATGTATGGTAAAGCTTAAATGTATGGTAAAGCTTAAATGTATGGTAAAGTCACTTTAAATCCCAGCGCATAAAGTAACCTGTATTCAGGCAGTGTTTATTTTTGCTGCGTGACATGGCAGCTGTGTAGTGCAAATGCTCCTGCTGACTCTGACAACCAAGGCTGCAGGGAAATTGAATGATACGACATGGGCAAGCTCTGCCCGAAACACCTCAGAGTCACTACACATTTGGTTTTGAATTAACTTTTCCCCATTGCTCATTAGAAATCTTTACTGTTGTCTGGTTTTTCCAGTCAGTTACATGACTCTCCATGGGGCCATGACCCACAGTTCAAGAATGTGGGACCTATGTCAGTAGTAACAATTCAGTTATCAATAGAGGTGACGAAATCTGATTTTTTTTTCCTTTTTTTTTTTTTTTCTCATCTGAAACCATCATTATTCCATGGTCTCAGTTTCAGGTCTCTGTGCTTGGGAACATGTCACAGTGGCTTTTAGGACTTTCTTTTGCATATGAAGGGAACAGCACAGAAAAATGCCTCATAGATTCTCTGTATGTTAAGTGGTAGGAGAGGGACTTTTTGGCTCTGAAGCAAGGCTCACTAGGCTTGCTCAGCCCCAGAGGGTACTCAGAACTGCAGGCCCTTCATCTGGCAGCCACCTTGTTTCTGCCGTGTGGTCTTTAACAGTTTTATAATCTGGTTTACCAACATTTTTTTCTTTTTAAAATAATTTTTCCTTTAAGTGGCTCGTCTTGATCAGGTTTTATAGATTTATTATTCACAGGAGCTGTGATTCTGGCAAATTAAGGTAATCTATAGCTTTCTGCAGTTTAAAATAAAAGCATTTCCAACTACTAGATTATCATTTTATAAATTTTTTAGTTTCAGCATGTACCTTCATTCCAGACTATTTTATAGTGGTTTGTACTCAAATACGTATTTTTCCTTTTGTGCCACTATTTGAACAAATGCTCTTCACTCTTAAAGAACATCTAAAATAAAAATCACCAAACTGACCTTTATTTCCTACTTATGTACATGGACATTCTGTGCATAGACACACAGTTTCTCACATGTTTATATTCAGAAATTGTATTTGTACTGGCCTAGTCACCTCCTTTTCTGTTTAAGATTGATTTGTTTAAGACCATTAACATTTTAAATCTTCTGAGGGATTTACACGTGTTGACTTTAGATAGTGCTCTGTGAGCTTTTCCAGAGTAGACCCAGGGCCTTACTGATCTTGTGCTGAGTTTTACATACTTTGCCCTTTTCATGTCATACATTTCCTACAAAGCCATCTTCCAGAATGCTTGCTCTCTAGGCTAGTTTTCATGAAGTTGATGTAAGGTAAGTTAGCAGCTGGGTGAAAATTATGAGCAGTTGTGTTGTGGCAGACGGCACAGTGTGTGCATAATTTACTAAATACATAAGTTTATATTAAATACATTTTCCGTGTGAGTTCCCTTTAAATAAAGTTACTCTAGATGTAACATGGCTGTGTTTTGTTTTCATTTTTGTGTCTCTGCATCTTACCAAAACAGTAGAAAATGGAGCTGGGTAAGTGGCTCAGTGAGTACGACCACTTGGTATATAAGGTTTTGGACCCATGTTCAGACCCCTGTACCCAGGTAAAAAGCCAAGCATGGCCACACAGGCTCAACCTCAGCACTGGAGGGAACAGGTGTGGGCTTGCTGGCAATAGCTGAAGGACATGTGATCTCCATCCTGTGTATCATGCACACACTTGTTCACAAACTCATATTACCATACACACAGAAGAAAAATAATAGAAAAGTTAGAGGTAAATACAAAATTAGTCTTATTTGGGGTGACATTAAAAACCACCACAGGTGAGTAATTTAAATACCTGGACTGGCAAGTTCAAGAGCCAGATGCTCTGTAGATCTCAGAACATCTAGAGAGTCGTCTGCTATTTCACAACATGGTGGAAGGGCAGAGACACATGAGAGACAAAACTGGGCTGAAATCGGCCCACACCTGTGATAGAAACATTATCCATTCAAGAGCACTAAGAATCAAATAGTAGCTGATAAAGGTTAAGCAGCAAGTAAGAATGTTTTAAGGATGCAAAAAAAAAATGCATTTGTTGAATATAAGGTGTGAGAAAAGGTAATCAAGGAATGGAGGGAAAAGGGGAGCAATTGGTGGGGTTTCATCCTAAGGACATCCTGGACACCAGAGGGTTCAGTCTTTGGGTAAAGGTAACATGTTGAATTGGTTTCAGTGGCAAATTTGTAATTTTGAAAGGTGTAAAGTGTAGGAGGAGCTAAGGTGGGAGGAGTAAGGAGGAGAGGAGGAAAAGGAAGAGGAGCTAGGAGAGGAGAGGGGGAGAGAGGGAGGGCACGGGTGTGGGCGCCCGAGGGCTGGGGGGGGGGGGAGGGCGGGAGGGAGGGAGGGAGGAGACAGTGGTGGATGTTCACATGTCCCTGGCAGTCAAAGGTAGTTGGTATATCTAGATTGAGTGTTGGGTTACACTTCTGATTGTAAGGGTATCTTGTTACTGGTCATTACCAAATATATAAGCGTTTTGATAATTTAAGCATTAGAGTCTCATTTGCCTACTGGGCCCGCGTGGATGGTGGAATGGTCTGGGCAATGCCCAGCCTTGCGGAGACAGTGTGACTGACTGGCAGAGCCATCTCCCACGCTGGCATCTTGTGGGTGGCAGGGCTGGTGTTTCTGGCTGGCCAGTTCTAGCTGCTGTGCACACGTGGCCTCCGGCGGAGAAACATGGCAGCTGAGCTAGGCAGAGCCGCTGCAGCTTAAATAGTCAGCTTGACCAGAGGGCGTTTTAAATAATTACTACAACAGTAGGGGACCTTATATTTTAGTCACTGACACAGGCCCAAGGATCAAAGACTTTAGAGAACCCTATTGCCAAGCTCAATCCAGGCCATGGTGACACACAAGCCAGGGGTTTAGCAGTGTCACCTTCTGGTGTGACTCAACTGTTAGATCACTTGGTTCTGGGTTTGTTTTCAGATTCTATGTCTTGTTATAAGCCTCTATCAAATCATCAGCTGGACCCATCTCCTCAGTTCCTTAGTGGCTCAGAGGCTGGCACACGCCTGGTAATTACACAATCTCTATTTAGAATATCAGTTTTGCTTATGACAAGATCTTTGCCATTGTCACTTGTCACTAATCATTACTGTTTTGCCAAATTCCACAAAGAAATCCCAGGAATTTACAAATTACCTTGGTGACTGGCTTACATATACCCCCCACCCCTGAAAGAAATGACAGGTTAGACATTTCAAGCAGTTTTAACTTTGTACCAATGAGAGCTGGATCTTTGATTCATTAGCAGACTCACAAGGCGCCAGGTGTAGAAAGCAGCTGGTCTTCAGAGCCAGAATCGGAATTCTAGGAGGTGGGGAGCTTTGGGGCTGTCAGGAGGATGAATGAGCAGGAAACAATCTCTTCTTCACCCATCGCTGCCCCTGTCCTAGTTACTTTTTTATTGCTGTGAATAGACACCATGACCAAACCAATGTTTGGTCACGTATAAAAGAATGTTTAAAATGTATAATGTATAAAAGAAAATGTTTCGTAGGGCTCAAGGTTCCAGGAGTTAGAGTGTATGATAGCAGCCTGAAGTCAGGCATGGTACTGGAGCAGTAGCCAAGAGCTTACATCCTGATCCATAGGGAAAATGGGAAAACGCCACGGGCTTCTGAAACCTCACAGCCCAGCTCCCAGAACACATCAGCAAGGCCACACCTAATTATTTCCAAACATTTCCACAAGCTAAAGACTGAACACACACACACACACACCACAATTTTCATTCAAACCATCATCCTGTAAAAAGTTCCCCTAGCATAAATAGTTACTGAATAGCTCACTACTGGTAATCAACAAAAGAATTTTTTAAAGTAAGAAATTCTGATTATCCACAAACTTATGATCTAATAAAGTAGAGGCATGTGAAAACAAAGCAGGAATAAGTGAGGTCCTCTGGGTGGGGGAGGCTGTTTCTTCACACTGTCAGGCATTTGTGGGGAACTGCAAATGGCCACTGAAAGACAGGACACATCCTTTGTACCACCTAGACTGTTAGCACATTCCCTCACACAAAGATCTCAAATCATTAACATCTTCATTCCATCCACTCCCAAATGACAGCTCTTTACATTTCATATTCTGACTCTAGTATCCCGTTTCTCTGCAGTACCCCAAACCCCTGCGCTCTCAGGAACCAGCTCCTTTGTTAGTAAAATCCTTATACTGACCTTTTTCTTAACTCCCTGTTTGTAGTTTTAATTAAAGCCTGTCTTTCATAAACAATATTATGTTACATCTTCTGCAGTCCTGTCAAGTATAGGTTTATCTCCTCTTCCTGAGTTTCTGCCACCAGTGGTGTGACCTCTAGCTGTTCCTTCTGCTCTAACATGGTTTTCCCTCGTCTTAAAGGTCTCCAACTTTGAATATCAATCATAAGTTATAGTATATCTCTTTTAGTATACTCTTATTCTATAGTTCAGCCTAAAATACTTAGTAAGCCCTGCCTCTATTTTTTAAATTTTATTGTATTTTAAAATTATACGTATGTATGTGTGTCTGCTTGTGGGTATGTTTTATGTGAATGAAGGTGCCTGTGGAGGCTAGAGGAGGATGTCAGGACTCTTGAGCTGGAGTTGCACTGTTATGAGCGGGATATGGATGCTAAATTCAGGTCCTCTGCAAGAACTGTACACAACCTTAACCATGGAGCTAGCTCTCCAATCCCATTCCCAAACACCCACATCAAAGAAAAAAAATCTTATTTTTAGGTCAAGTATCTCATTTTCCAACACCAAGCTACTTTCCCCTCACATTTTTTCTGGTGCCACAATTCTTATGAATCTTCATCCATCGGGGCCCTCCTCAGTGTACTGATCTCTGCACAGTTTTCATTTTCATCATTTCTCTCAGGGTGACCCTTTCTGTTCCTTCCTTTTCTGAATTCATGTACAAATGGTCATTTCCTTGGCACTTCTGTTCCAGTCATATGAACTTCCTTGCTCCTATTTGACTGTGCCCAGCTTGCTGCTGCTCCTTCCCCAAAATGTCTGTAGTCATGGGAGTGCCTTTCTCTCCTCTCTTCCTGCAATCTTTGCTCAGCATCATCAACTGAGACCTCTGCTGATTACCTTGTTGAAATTACACTCTTCCAGTTCCTCCTTCTCCTCCTCCTTCACCACCACCACCACACGACCACTCGCCCTTGTTTAAATTGTTCTTAATTAATCCTAACCCTCTGGATGCTGAGGCAGGAGTGCTGGGCCCCATTTTGTCCCTGGTTAGGGCCTTGTTGAGTTTCTGCAGCCTTGTCGGAGAGCCTAAGCCTGGCTTGAGTTTTGAGATCTATTTCAGTCACTTCTGTATTGGGGTGACTCAGCAAGACCTGTTGGCCCTGCCTCTGTCCTGCCGTTGCTAATGTAGAGCTTTGGCTTTGGCCCTGTCAGTCACCCCATATCCTCTGTCTCCCTTCCCTGACTCCTACGTCATCTCACCCCACCAAAAATTCCCCTCCCTATGCTCCGAGTTTATATAAGTGAGAAGCTGAAGCAATAAAGTTGAGTTCCTGCTTCGACAAGACTCCCGGCCCAGTGTGTTTCTTTTGGGCTGTCGACACTCACTACCCCATTCAGCACCAGAGAGACCCAGCAGGATCAGGACCTCTCTCCTCTCACCTGGACCTGCCAGCAAGGAGCTGACACAGGAAGATCCTAAGATCATATTCTCATCCTAACCATGCCCAGTCTATTTGCCCGTAGAAAGCATGAGGTTCTTGTACTCACAGATAAGTGCTAGAGAAACACACAGGCTTGTCTCCTCAAATGAAAAGATGTATAATCTGTGTTCCACACAGAAGACTGGGAGTGGGTGTAGTTAATAAAGTGTTGACTAGTGCTACCTGTAGGAGCCAGGCCATACCTGACTCCCCCACATTTTTATATTTACCTTAGAATCTTCCCCCCAGACCTTTATCTTGAGCATTGTTTCTCAGTCAGTAGACTGTACTTTACATATGGAGTAGAGGTAGTGGACTAGGTGACTTCTGTGCTATCTATGAGGGTAGGCCATAGATAAAAGAAAGTGAATTTCCTTTCAAGTTTCTGATTCTAGAAGAAGTCTCAAGGTGAGTGTATTTAAGGCTGGATGTGAGAAAGCGCATCACCAGTCTGGTTAAAAACTCATAGAGGGCACCATGTGCTTAGTTCTGCATTCCTACAATTTCCAACAATGACAGTTCTCACATATTTGTGGCACAGTCATGTAAAATGAGCAGAGGGACAGAGAGGGGCTGTGACCTCTCAGGGATTTCCCCTTTTCTTCATCCCTGGGAGGTTTTGTCTAGAAATGTCAGGTTGTATTGCTTAATGATGCTCATTTATTTGACCTTTGTACCATCTGTTTTAGTCACAAAAGTTATAGTATGAAAAATATAGCCAGTCATAAAATTTCATAGGGGAAAACATCA